TGTAATGAACTATCAGACCCTGAAGTCAGATGAAAGCAGGCTAATCGGAAAAATTAGTTAAATGTTCATGAGAATGCCCCAAAGTCAGACACACAAATATCTGATCCCAAACATGATAAGTTGACAATCTTGAATATCATATTCAGAGAGAAGTGGCCGATTAAATCAAATACTGTGATGGCCAAAATAGTTATATGTTTGAGTGTCAAGGCCAGTAGATTTAATGCTTGTGTGAGAGATGGGCGGGTGAGGCTTGATGAATGAAGCTTTGGAGCTTTAATTTTATTATCTGTACAAAACACAGATTGGAAGTTTGAGGCTTCTCATTAGACAAACACAGTAACGTGATGGCTTGTAAAACCTAGAGCAGCTCTTCATTACAGGCTGATAGGTAGGGATAGTGTCACGTGTACAATGGAAGCCTATAAAGACCGTTTTCATCAAATGTCTTGTTTTGTCGAGGTTCTTTGATACGTTTAGGTAACATTGTGTAATATGTTGCAGTTAAATAACCTTGTGTTTTAAAACATTCGCTGATACAACAGTATGAATCCATTTCTGTGGGCTTATGTCTCTATATTCAGGATTGATAATCATGTGTCAATTTATATTTGCAATTAAATGTAGGCAAACATCATGGTTATGCTCCTCATGTTGGCCAACTAATGCATTATTCACAGGGCAACTGTGACACTTTGAACTTTGAAATTGAGCGATGCACTTTCATAATTACTGGTGTCATTTGAAGCCTCCATCAGCTAATAAAAGCTCAGTGTACTAAAGCAATGGAACTAAGGCGACAGAAACAAGCTCTGGTTTTTAGTTTCCAGTCATTAGCTGGAAGGTAGAAAATCAATGTAAAAACTGTTAATGATCTTGCTATAGTGTAAATTACTGATGCATAGATTTGAAGCCATTATAGGGCATCATCCCAGGAGAGAAAAAGGCAGTTTGAATCACTGCCACTGTCCTCTCTTCATGGAGAAGACACCCAGAGGGAAATCACACCACATGACCACAATTAGGATTAAGACTCTTTATTAAGAGATTCATAATACATGGTCCAGTTGTACTATATAATCCACTAGTTTAAAAATGTTAAAAGACAGCGTACTGGCAAGTAACTGAGGTCCAGCGATAGGAAAAATGTACATACATGACAATAAACTGCACACAAGCTTTTATACGGAGTTGAAAATACTTTCAAGAGAAGTTCTCTAGTAACAAAAGTATTTTAGATTTAATACCTGTGCTCGATATCTGAAAAAGATATATCATGTTAAAGACATGCTGTGTGGAAATTACACAAATTTTTACTGATACTTGTTTGCAAGAAAGACTTAATTTCATGGTTGCTCTCTTTTACACACACACAAATCTGTCCTTTTTTCAGTCTGACCACTAGGGGTCAGCGCTGAGACCTTTTTGGACCCTGGCCGAGCGGACCTCCTCCATCAGCTCCTTCAGGTACTCAATCTCCCTGGCCATGGACTCAGCCTTCTCCTTCAGCTCCATGTTTTTCCTCTCCAGCAATGTGTGCTCTCCGCTGAGTGACTCATGCTCGGCTCTCTTCTTCTGCCGGTAACGAGTGGCGGCAGTCTTATTCTGCTCCATCTTCTTCAGTTTCTTGGCCTTTGGTGCCTTCAAAACTGCCCTTCCGTCTCCACCAGTACCCTTTATTTTGACACTGGTGGCACTGGTAGAAGGTGTACAAGCTTCATATGCAGGCTCAGGGTAGGGTCTGCTTCTGGAAGATCTTGGTGGAGGGGAGGCTGTTGTGGTTACTGTGGCGATGGGAACCTCCTGTTTAGGAGCGAGCACGAAGACGATGCGAGTTGGGGAAAGGGAGAGTACGATCCTCTGGACCTGAGGGATGACAGGAGTTGCCAAAGGCTTCACCTCACTCTCTGAGACGTCTACTTCACTGCCCAGGTCCAGGGTGTAAGCAGGTGAGGAGGGGGAGGGAGATGGAGATGGGTCTGGGGACACAGGCTCAGATTTGATTTCCAGCTCCTCTTGTGGCTCGGGGACAACGAGGGCTGGGGAGGGAACATCTTGGTCATCAATGAAGGATTCTGTTTCCTCCACAATTATGGGTGACGGCTCTGAACAGAGAGTAGGGGGAGGAGGAGGTAGACTTAGAGGAACAGGGAGAAGCTCAGGAGTGGGCACTGGGAGGGATTCAAGCTCCATGGGGCAATCCAGGGAGGCTAAGAGGTCTTCTGGAGAGCCAGGGGACTCTTCAGTTGGGCTGCAAGAGCCTATGAGAGAGTCCAGGTCGAACTCGCTCAGATCCATCCTCTCGGCCATCCAGTCCAGGTCACTGAACATGTCCTCTGTGGAGGCAAACAAGGCATTAGAATATTTTTATCTCTACTACACAAACAGATGCTGATGTGGTATCAGAAGGAACAACTTTAAAATTTCTAGTCAGATTAAAAAATCTATCATCATTAGTCCAGTTTTTTTTAATTTTTTTTTTACCTTTGCCGACATCTGAGATTGACCGTCTCAGCTGACTGGGTACACCCAACCAGGGGAGAGAGAGAAGGTCCGACTCAGTCCCAGCTTTGTCCCCTTGGAGGTGGACTGCAGGTGGCGAGGGTGGAGGAGAGTAGAAGGGAGGAGGAGATGAGGAAGAAGACTGTGATGAGGAGGCGAGGGGGGAAACAGGTGAAGCGTCCCCCTCCACTGACATTCCTCCTCCTCCTTTCTGTTGTTCTTCTTCTTGGTCAGGGCGAAAAGAGAGGTGGTCCATGTGGTCAGCCATGGGAGAGGAAGGTCCCCAGAGAAGGTCCTCCATGTCTTCCAGGCCAAACTGTGAGTTTGTCATCATCATGGTCATAGTGGCTGTTGTTGGTCACGAACGGAGCGCGCGACAGTAGGCAAGTCTCGAACTCTTTTATGCTGTCGAAAGCAGCAGTAGTGAGGGATTCCACGTAGGACCTGAGACCAGGGAGAAAGTGAGGAAAAAAAAAAGAGGTTAACATCATTGTTGAAGACAAAAAAAAAAAAACAGCTGGAATCAGAAATACTTTATTAATCTTTATAAAATTCGCCTTAGAATGAAGATTTGTAGAAACAATACTTTTGCTTTGCACGTAAACACAGTGTAGACTTTAAAAATTAAAGATTCTGATCACATTTCCGCACAACACCGCCCCGCCCCCCACCACGTCTGCAATGCACCTGCTGCGCATGACGTCACGTGGCTCCGCCCAGCTTCCAGTCTTATGACTCTGACGTCACGCCCGTCCTTCAACAGTGTCACCCTCCCTCGACTGTAAACGGCCACACTTTTGTTCCTCACACGCCTACACGAAGCCGCCATTTTGACACAACAGAGTACACGAACCATTTTCTGAGTGCCACGTTGCATCGGCACCGAAAGGTTTATTTAATTATAGTTGTTAAATATGTATTGGTTTAATGTATCGATTTCTTTACACACGAAAACAAAAAAAATGTTAAATTTCACGTCGACGTCTAGTGTTGCGTCATGTCAGTAATTAATCATTTATTATTAATATCTTTAAATCCTCAATTTTCCGATATCTTAAAGTAATTTTTTATCGAATTATTCGACATAAACACTTAATATCAACTAAACTATTACTTAAATATTGCATTTCTATCTCGTCTGGGTGATTAGGCTCGTAGCCGATGTAGGCCGCACCGAGTCTGTTATCGACGAAATATTATCAAAAAATATACTTACGACATATTTGCTGAATTGAGAGTGACTCAGTGCACTGGCTGGATGCACTGTTTGGTTGGCTGCTGGGTCGCTGCACACGTTTACACTGCCATTTCGGCCGAAAGAGCAATGTTCAACGATGGTGTCACTTCGGGTTGTTTGTTCCTGAGAAGGGAAAATGGCGCATGAGGAGGCGACGCGCTGATATAAAGGTAAAGCGAGGATACGGGATGTCCTTCCGCCGCAGTGCACGTCTGTATCACTCCGCCACTGTTTTGTTTGGTCCTGTCACATTCCACGCATAGCTTTACCGTAATTCTAGAAAGTAGGCCTGATCAAAAACGAGACAAAGTAAATCACAAGAACGTTTAATATGATGCGAGTGACTTCAAATAAGTATGTAGCTCATTAATCACCATTTTAATTGGCTATAAAGAAGGTATCCTGAGCTACCTGTCGATACTTTTGTTGATGAGGTTTAAATGAGATAAATACGGCTTTTAATCCCTAATTGCATAAATTATACACTGAAACACACTTTTTCGCAAATGAACACAAATTAAAAAAACAAAAAAGTTATTTTATTTAGCTTTAATGTTCTTTCAAATGCATATAGGCTATATTTTTTGGCAGTAGCTCAGTCTGTAGGGACTTGGGTTGAGAACAGGAGGGTCGTCGGTTCAAGTCTCGGTGAGGACCAAGTATGGATGTTGGTCTGGTAGCTGGAGAGGTGCCAGATCACCTCCTGAGCACTGCCGAGGTGCCCTTGAGCAAGGCACCAAACCCCCTCCCCACCACCAGCTCAGGAGCTCACTCTGACATCTCTCCCTTAGTGCCTGTCCATAGGATCCTGTTTGTGTGCATGTGTGTGTATACTTCAGCGTATGTGTGTGTTGTATGACTACAGAGTGTCAAAACTGAAATTTGCCCTTGCGGGGATCAATAAAGTAAATCTTATGTTTAATCACATATAGGGCCGACACATTTTTTACTGTTCCAAACAAACTTTCACTCACACATAGCCTACAAAAAATAGCAATCGCAAAACGTTCTTTTAAGTACCCAAAATTTTTATTGAAATATATAAATAAGGAATGTAATAGCTAAGTGGCATGAGGAAACACATTCCCTACATACCGAAATACAAAACTTAACAAACACAAAGATATTCTATAAAACTTTGATGTTTATTAAAATACATGTGATAAATAAAGCATTTTCATTTCTAACTTCACATATTCTAGCATTCAGAAACACACTCTCTCATTCAGACACATACAAATGGACACAAAGAGCTCTCATTTCATTCAGCTGAACATTCCCACATACGATTCAGGTGATCTAGTTCACTCTGCAGATTTTTTGCGAGCATGCAAACCCTTCCAGAAAACTTGCTCCTGGATGACTTCTTCAGCTTTCGATCATCCTTTTCTTTGAAATACTGATCGATTTCCATGGCAAACTCCTGAAGTAGTCTCTCGGACGACATCCCACCTGTGTGAGATACCTTCTTGCCGTCATCCATCCTATGCACAGACTGTGACAGATGCGCCATCTTGACTGCGTCAGGCGGCGCTCCCGCCCTCTGTAGCCTGGCAATGTCGTGCCTTCTCAGCTCGTTCATCCCAGAGAGGATAAAATCCAAACAATGTTCCAGGTCAACAACATTTTCCTTGTAGTCATAAACCAGTTTCTCCACTGCCATCTTATTAAGAAACTTCTTGTTGACCTTGTTTTTGTGTGCATTTATGCCCCCCGCAGATGCCACCATACCAGCACCGACGGCTGTAGCAATCAGCGAGGCACCTAAGGTCGCAGGGGCCAAGGCGATCCCCAACACTGCAGTCACCCCTCCCACAGCGCCAGTGGTGCCTCCCGCGATGCCCATAGTTTTATTCTGCTTGTGCATCTTGTCCAGGCTTTCGCAGATGACGTTGAAGTCTGCGATGATGTCCCGCAGAGTTTCATTGCGTTTCATCATGAGGAGGTTGTAGAGACGAAGGGCTTTTCTCACATTCATGGCTCTCTGATTGAATGATCTGCGCAGAGAAAGTGACAGAGAGAGAGTTCTGGGAATACTTCCACACCACGAAATATCTTTTATCCCAAAATACTTTTACCAACTCCAAAGGAGAATTTCAAGCATTAGTGCTCGTGATTACCTGGATTCCTCCTCTATACTGAGGCCATATTGTGGCGGATCCATCGAGTCAGATTCTGTTGGCGTGACAGCACAGGCAAAGATTAGACACTAATCACACACACAGGTCAAAATGGAACATTTGATCTCTTTGCTGAGCTTGCCCTGAACGTGTGTGTTAGTAGGGTTTTCAGTTTTTTACTCTGCTTTCTTTTAGCTGTCAAATGTGTCACTCATTGCAAGTCTTTACGGTGGAAAATGTAACAATAAAGGTTCTTTCTGGGCATGCTGTAAATCTCCTCACCTGACACCTACCCTACAGCTGGTTTCAGGCAAAAAACATAATAGAAACGATCCGTGTTGTTACTGATGGTCTCTTAGGGGTTTTGAGACATCAGTATTAGTGTCAGTCTGTTTCGTAACCTGACAACTCCTCATAGGAGCCTTAAGTGATGTGTTTTTTTGTTTGCCCTGGTGGCAGAAATACGCCTCTTTAGGTAACAATAGATTGTACATAAAAATTGATTGATAAACATGATGAGCAGTCCAAAAAAAATTCCACAGAAATTTTAATTGAATCCAAAATAGAAAATATTATTTCACTTACTGGACACTCCTTTGAACCATCTCAACATCCACCTGATGTCCTGTGGAAAACAAGTAGCATCATCTCGTCAAAAACCATTTCAAGCAGAAAAATAATATATCATAACTTTTTTTTTAACTGTGTACAGAATGAAGAGTTGATCTTTCCAAGTGCGTGTCGAGTTAAAGGGGGAGAAAAGCTTTACCTCTGTGCCCTCTGTGCTTTGGTGGTAAGACGAGTAGAAGCCAAGCGGGTAGTTTTTTGCAGAACCAAATGTTGACCTCTGGTAGTGTGAAACAGATAGATTTATTAAAACGTCTGTGTGTGTGTGTGTGTGTGCGTGCGTGCGTGCGTGCGTGCGTGTGAGACTCACCATACTTAGGTTATCATCTGGCAGGACGTCCAGGTATGGTCGATAATCTATCTCACTGTAGATTGACTCTGTTGAAGGTGGGGGTGGCGGGGTGAACGACGGTGGTGGTGGTCTGGCCTGCAATCGACAGAATTTTTACAAAGTTTTTTTTCACAGGAATGACCTCTTTTGATATATTATAATTCCACCCTGTCATACATAGGAAAGATCTGCTATAGAGTCAAAAAAATGTTTCTTGGAACAAACTTTTTCGAGAATGTTTTATATGGGGTCTAAAGGGAACTGACTACTGAAGCCATGTGGCAACCCAAGAAAGTGCAGTTTGTGATATTTCTGGATGTCTTTCATATCTCAGCCCCACAGGTTACCGCTTAGTTTAAGCACCTTTTGTTGCTGTTTTGGCACTTGTCCTAGAAGGTTTCATCACATGTAGTTGTCAGCCCTGTAAAAAGGTTCTCTTACCTGTTGAGTGGCATAGTCACACTCTGAGGCTGAGTAGGGAAGGGTGGATTGCCCGAGCCGAGGCGGGACTGCAGGTCTTTCTGTGGCCTTAAAATCAAAGTATATCACAATGTGGTTGCATAACACAATCAAACAAAATGAATGTTTTCCAAAATGTCTTTATCCAGAGAGCGAATGCAGACTGTTAGGTTGGATATTTGACAATAATAGCAACCTACATATGATTAAAACTCTGTTAAAATAATGTCATTATCATCCAAAGTCACAGAATCTTTTTCCATAGTACATGACTTAAACTCTGCCAATTACCACCGTATCATCGTAAGTCTCGCACTGGTTCAGCTTTTCTTCAGAGACAGCTGGGGAGGCTGCAGTTTGCTGCATAGAGCTGATGGTCCGACGTCTTGGTTCTTGGTCTTCATCAGTGTTATTCTAGCCAGGAAAAAAATCAGCAAGATGGAAGAAAGTTGAAGATTTGACATATTTAAATTTAAAGTTAAAACTGGAACAAAATCCTGTAGGTGTCAAGAGGAAACTTAGATTATGTGTAACCATGGCTGAAACCATTATAAGTCACTAGTTCGTTAAAGAATCATCCCTTGGATCATCATAAGAATTTCACGTTAGTATTTTTAGCCTGGAAGTTTAAAAAGCTGTGTTCTATCTTTTAGCGTTCTTTTGTCGTGGCCATGTTTGATAAAGAAAAAAGGAAATGCAAGCATCTACCTCCAGTTATAAAAAACAGGATTGCACTTACCTCAGATTTAAGCTTCAATGAAGAAGTTAGTCTCTCATAGTAGATAGCAGGAGGAGGCGGGCGTGCAGGCCGTGGTCGAGAAGAAGATTGTGTTTTCTCAGTGCCCTCAGCTGGAGGCTGGCAGAGAAAGAAAGAAAGAAAGAAATAAGCCGTTGTTTCTACAGTTGCTTAATGATCCAAACCTCTATTTGTATCATTAAGTGAGCAACAACTTACTCATTTTTAGAAAACCTGTCCGCACATATTAAAGCTTAAGTTGCCAAAATATATTTTTGACTCCTTTCAGATCTGAAAGACATTATTTCAAACAAAAACAAAAACTTATATTTTGATGTACGGTCATATTTGGAAATACACCTATCCTAGGGTTAGGGTTACAATCAATCTGCTCTAGCTATCAGCCTTTCATTAGGTTGGTTGAAAGTTAGGGTGAGACAGGATTTCCAGCATGGCGGCTGCTGCCGATGAGCCTCCGGTGCCCTCTGCAGTAACAGATGTCTGACGTCACTCAGGCTTCCTCCGTTAATATTTACAGTCTGTGGTGACGATGCCAGTTTCTCTTTCTTTTAAGTAAGTAAATCCGAGGTTATAGCCAGAAGCATCTCAACTTAGCTTAGCATAAATAGTGAAAACAAGAATGAGCAGCTTGCTAAGATTCTGAAGCACCTCTTAAAGGTGCTCAATTAACAGTGATTTAGTTTCCCTTATTGTAAAAAAAGAAAAAGAAACTGGTCTCAAAATGTCAGTTTGAGTCTCTAGCTCATCACTTAGTCTAAAATAAGTTACCTCCACAGTTGTTACAGGTTTTGCATTGATATAAATGGTCTCCTCCTTGGCCTTGGTTTTTGAAAGAATTGAAGTCAAATATATGCTTGGAGGTCTGGGACGAGCAGGACCAGGCCTCTTATAGACTGCAGACTTTTCACTGAGCGGGGAACTCTGAAGAAAGATGGACATGAAAATAAATTAAGACATTGCCAATTTGGATGTGTCACTAGGCACTCTGGCAGCAGCCTTGGTAAGAATCACAAAGACTCAAAATCTGGTTCACTGACCTCTCCATTGGTTGTACTGCTGGTTGTGTCTACAGAATCAGCAGAGTTGTTGGTGTCGTTACTTTGGTCTTTCGGTTGTATTTTAGTCCTCGGACGAGGTACAGGTTTGACTTTGACCTCAGACTGGCTCTCATCCATGACTTCAGGCTGGCAAAAAAGCATCAATAACAGGTATGTTAACAGACATTTATAATCATAGGAACAGCAGCTGTTATCTGAAAAGCGATCATCAAAGCTAAAGAATCACATTCCACATTGTTTTGGAATCTCTCTTAAGATTGAACAAGATAATAACACGCATGCAAGAACATCACATTTTTAAGTCATTTCTGCATTAAAAGAACTTTGAAAAGCTGTATCATTTTTTTTAAACCTTTGATTCCTCCTGGTTTTCATGGGTCAGCTGTTCGACTTCATAGGAGGAGGTGTCACTGGCCTTCATCTGGCAGTTCTTCCTTGGAGGTTTGGGCGGCTGCTGGAATTAATAGTGACAAAAAAAATGACCCTCAAATATGAGACAAAGTTTATCACAAAATGAATGTTTTCCAACATTTCTTTATCCAGAGAGTGAATGCAGACTGTTCGATTGGACATTTGATGATAATAACAACCTATGACATGATTAAAACTCTGCTACAATAATGTCATTATTATCCAAAGTTTCGATAGTACATGACTTAAACTCTGCCAATTACCATCGTATCATCGTAAGTCTCGCACTGGTTCAGCTTTTCTTCAGAGATAGCTGGGGAGGCTGCAGTTTGCTGCATAGAGCTGATGGTTGGACGTCTTGGTTCTTTATCTTCATCAGTGTTATTCTAGCCAGGAAAAAAATCAGCAAAATTGAAGAAAGTTGAAGATTTGACATATTTAAATTTAAAGTTTAAACTGGAACAAAATCCTGTAGGTGTCAGGAGAAAACTTGTGTCATCAACATCAACTTAATAACAAAAAGTTGCTTAAAAAATAAAAACCCACATTAAACCGAGAGCAAGACTTTAGATTTCTAATGTGTACACCAACCTAGATGTCTCCAATCTCTCTTGAGATTGAACAAGATAATAACACGCACGCAAGAACATCACATTTTTAAGTCATTTCTGCATTAAATGAACTTTGAAAAGCTGTATCATTTTTTTAAAACCTTTGATTCCTCCTGGTTTTCATGGGTCAGCTGTTCGACTTCATAGGAGGAGGTGTCAGTGGCCTTCATCTGGCAGTTCTTCCTTGGAGGTTTGGGCAGCTGTGGGAATTAATAGTGACAAAAAAAATGACCCTCAAATATGAGACAAAGTATATCACAAAATATATGTTTTCCAACATTTTTTTTATCCAGAGAGTGAATGCAGATTGTTCGATTGGATATTTGATGATAATAACAACCTACGATCTGATTAAAACTCTGCTACAATAATGTCATTATTATCCAAAGTCACAGAATCTTTTTCCATAGTACATGACTTAAACTCTGCCAATTACCATCGTATCATCGTAAGTCTCGCACTGGTTCAGCTTTTCTTCAGAGACAGCTGGGGAGGCTGCAGTTTGCTGCATAGAGCTGATGGTCGGACGTCGTGGTTCCTTGCCTTCATCAGTGTTATTCTAGCCAGGAAAAAAAATAAGCAAGGTGGAAGAAAGTTTTAGATTTGGCATATTTCTAATGTGTACAACAACCTAGATGTCTCCAATCTTTCTTAAGATTGAACAAGATGACAACACGCATGCAAGAAGTAATTTTTGCATTTAAAATCAACTTTTGTTCTTTTTTTTAATACCTTTGATTCCTCCTGGTTTTCATGGGTCAGCTGTGGGACTTCATAGGAGGAGGTGTCAGTGGCCTTCATCTGGCAGTTCTTCCTTGGAGGTTTGGGCAGCTCTGGGAATTAATAGTGACACAAAATGACCCTCAAATATGAGAGAATTGAGCTACGAGGAAAGGCAGCAAACTGACCCATCAGTGGTTTTTAGATGCTGCAAATGTACCAAATCTTTATGTTGTCATATCTTCATAAATGGTTGCTTTGAAACATGTTCTGGTTGCTGTTCACCTGCAGGAAGCTTTAAACTTCTTGTTTTAATTGAGAGTATAGAAATATCTAAACCACTGATGTAGGGCTGTTGTTGAGAGGTGGCCCTTCGACAATGATTGATCAACAACATTAAATGACTGAATGATTAAATGAAAGCATGGAGAAAAATTAGTTACAATAAAACTGATGTATTAGCATTCCATACAAGACCTATTTTAGTAGCTTTGCATGAACCGCACATGCAACAAAGAAAAGTCTACCTGAAACACTTGTGTATTTCTTGCCCACATGCTTTGTTAGAATAATATAGCATTTATATAGATGTTTACTTGGACTTTTTTTCTGTAACTCTGCCAAATTAATGTTAACCACGAAGCAACTTCAAGTGCTAAGAAAGTAAAGCTGAAGTGCCAAAACTGCAGTTCCTCCAGTGGCCAACTGGAGCTTGTTCCAAAAGCGAGTAAATCACAGTTTTGATCCTGATGGCTGATTTCTCAAGTTGTAACAACTGGAAGGATACTTAATTTTTCATAACTTTTTGTTCAATACCAATTTAAATCCTGATTGATTTGGACTGCGGTGTCTTAAAGCTCCTGTGAGAAGTTTTTTTAAACTTTTTTATCAAACTGACCAAAATTCATATTGCAGCTTCTTTTTGACCTACGAAAGCAAAATAGACCATCAACTAAAAGCTGAACTATTTCTATATTGTAGATTTGTTACGCCTGTAACTGCTGCCACAGGTTATGAGTCAGATGTGACAATCTACAACTTGTAAACAAAAAGCAAAACAATTCTAAGCATATATTGACAATGAATGATACATTATTTATACAGTCTTAAAACTTATCGTTGCTTGAGCAGTGGGATTAAAGTCAAGTACTTTAAACACACCACTATGGCTTCTGTATTCATGATCTTGTTTCTGGTTTGTTGCGTAACACGGTTTCTGTTTTGAAATCCCAGATGTGCTCAATTGTAGACAGTTGCAGCTTGTCATTTTTTAATGTTTGGGTTCTAATGCTACATTTTAAGTCATAATGATGCATTATGATGTAAACCATTAAGGATAAAACATCCAGTTTTATATTATCAACTACAAGAGAATTGCTGTTACTTGCAAACCAGAGGAACCACAAGTGTTTGTTTCTAGAGACTGACAAGAAGAAGGTGAAGATGAACCTTTCTCTCATGAATACTTGCAGTCTCATATAATTTTTTAATTACATTAAAAACATATATTTAATCATTTACAAGCAACAGAAAGAGCTGATTCTTACCGTCGTGTTCCAGTTAAAGCTCAATGTTTCTCTCTTGTGTTTTACTGCCTGAAGCCTCGTCGGAGGGCAGAAGCCATAGTTGTCTGCTTCTCTTTCACTGTCATACAGTCTAAAGAAGCCTGAGGGGGGGGCTATCCCTGCAGTGTCACAAAAAAAAACCAAATCTGGGTGTATCCTCACTTCTGGCAAATTAAAGTATTTACCTTAGCAAGTGGACAGGAGGCTGAAATATGTCAGAACTGTCACTCAAACATCCAGTAACACACAAAAATGTTAAATAGGAAGTCGTTGCTTTGATTGATATTAATATACATGCCAAACACCAACCCTAACCTCAACTACCTTCACCAAAAACCAAGTCTTCTCTTTAAAGTGTAATGGTTTACCTTGTGTCGACCAGCTATTCCTGTTGTCAACAGTGCAGGTTGATTGTTAATGTTATTGTAGGGTGTGTAAAGAATCTTGTGTATGAGCGTCAGTCTTTATGTTCGGGTGTTTGTTTTTTAGTACTCGTCCAACAGGCCAAGTGAGTGTGTGTTTTTGAAATACGTTCTGCGACTGCTTTCGTGCTTAGTCATCATGGATCTGAGTCTAGAAGGGCAACTTGATTTAGGACTGCAATCTGGATGTGATGCTCTTCTTTAATTATTCATAATTGTGTTATAACTGCTGATTGGGGAAAGTAAATCCTTTTTCCAATCTGAGAAAAGTTTTCAGAGGGTAAGGAGTTAGCGGACATGGCTTGCTAAACTGTTATTTCATTTCATTTTCATGCATTTGTTTGTTTTTTTATAAAATAAATGACCTATTTGCTTTCCTGCACACTCTGTCTCTGCGCTGATCGTGCATGGGTCTCATCCAACAAGCTACAGCCGCACATCAAAAGAAACGATTCTGCTCATTAAGCGAGCCACGCCATGTTCTTGTGTTTGGAGGGAGTGTCACTGATAGTTTTCCAGTTGGCCTCAAGTCAAGCTTACTCCTGGTGGTTTCAATTTGAAACAGCACTATACTATACACATCCCTCACTAGCTAGAAGCTCCTTTCCAACTATAGCTAACTTTTTAAGAAATCCCTAAAAACTCTCCTCTTCAACATCGCCATCCACCACTAACCAACTCTGTTCTCATCCTCCTTCTCTTACATTATATCTTCTTTGCATTGTTTCCTCTGTTTTGTTTTGTTGTTATTCGTACTTCGAAAAGCGCAATAGAAGTCTATCACATTATTTTCTAAGCTTACTTTCAGCTCGGGACTCTAACTTATGTTAATACTGCGGTACATATAGTCCTTTAGTCCTCTTCGTTCTTTAAATTGACCTTTATGTTTTGTATCTATAGTGTCTTTACCATGTTAGCATTTAGCATCAGTGAATGCTGGAATAAGCAGTCTGATATTGTCGCCACTGAAATCATTCACTCTATGTTGTTATATTGGTTAATAATAATCAAAAACAGACCTGAACTACGATACATATTGCATGACAGTCGACTTCATGTTAAGTGATAAGACACTTTTATTCCTAAAGCTACAGTATAAACTGTTTGAGTATAGCCTAATGTATGTTGTCTGTTGCATGCAATGAGACTTGTAACTAAATTAATCATCCAATATATTGATACATAGAGCAACAAGCAGCAGCAGCAAGACCAGGAGTCATATGACTGGAACATCATTATGCCAATTTAAAAATTATTATAGCTTGTTTTAAATAAAATAAATATAGGCATAATCTCCTCTCTGAGTGTACATTAGTAGGCCTACTCGAGGAAGCAATAGTCATACTGACACTTGTGACATGAATGCATTTGTGATTTGGTGAATCGTAGGGCCTGCCAAAGCAAGCATGCAAACATTTGAATGATCAATGTTTATTTTCAGCGTAAGTCTGTGTTATTATTTACTGACACAACTCCGCTGTCACAAGGACAGATACAAGAAATCTTTCTCACCGGAAGGCCATAACTCATGTACAACAGCTCACCTCATGCGAGCAGAGAACTGTCATCATGATAATATCTGTCTCTCCGTACTGTAATCTGTTCTGCACATGTTTACAAATTCTCCCTGCACTCATGTTCGCTTCATTTGTCTGTCTACTCGCCGTTACATTGTATAGTTTCTGCTTATTATATGTCTGCACTCATGCACTTTAACTTATGTCAATACTGTCCATTTACAACTCTGTTTTTGCACATTTACATTCAATCTTCCATATTTAATCTTCCTATTTAAATCCCTCCATTCCCCCTCAAACCCCCACACAGGACTACCTCACTGGACTGTAAAATACAATATAACGTGCAATATATTTATCTGTATAGTAATTTTACTCATAGTTTTTCTTTTTATATCTATTTATATCTGCACCTATTTTTATTTTTTATATGTAAATACATGCTGCTGTTTTATCCTGCACTACAACGAGCCAAATGCAACGAAATTCCGTTCTTATCTGCACTGTAAAGTGTTTGAATGACAAGAAAGAAAGTCTAAGTCTAAGTCTAAGTCTAAGTTTAAAACTAGTAATGCTTAGTTAAATCCTGGTTGTATATATTCACAATCTTAGTTTTGATATTTCTAGTACTTATTTACTTTGTATTTAATATTATATTGTGTTTAGATTTGCTAACATTGTGTTTTTTTACTCATATTGTGTGTTTGGATAACCTGCTGCTGTAATGCCACAATTTCCCAGTTTGGGATCAATAAAGTAATTCTATTCTATTCTTCTATTCTATTAGTCTTTTCCTTGTGATAAGTAGCCTATGTCTCCAATAAGTGTGTTTATTTCTCAGTTGGACTTGAAACATACTCGTGCTTCATCATTCATTTCACACTCACATCACACCTCGTGACCCATCACAGACTTTTCTTGTGCACCGGTTTGTAATACGAGATGATGGTCACCCTGTTCCACCAATCAGAGCAAGTTCCTCATCATTTTTCCTCCAATCACTGAGCCTCATAGTGGGGAAGCAAACGCGACAGTCATTCACATCACTTCTTTCCTTGCTTTCTGCGACGGTTGATGTAGTGGTTGATCTGCGCGCTGGATATTATCGAAAAACAATATTGAGTGTTTTTTTGTTGTTGTTGTTGTTGTTCGGGGACAAAAAAAATGACTCCACGGGAAGTATTTTGTATCCTCGCGGTGTTGTTGGTAACACAAACCGCCGCCGTAATCAGGTAAAAAAAAACTGTTTGTCAGGTGACTTTTTTTTTGCAGCCAACATCATATTGTAACATCCCTGCGTCACTTTCATAGCGACGCACAGGTGGACTGAAGTCAGGTGATTGTGTGCGCGCTTCACTGAGTTAACGTCCGTGTTCTCCGGTCATAGTCATAATAAGCCCCACGTGTTGACAATTAATGTGAGCCAATGAATGTCACCTGTGAGTATTTAGGCTGCAGGTTAATGACGGTGTTAGAAGTTCTAATGGACCGCTTCGCTGAGATTGCGCCGTTTGAAGAAGCGCGTCAGAAGCAGGAAGCTTCTTTACGCAGCCTGACTTGTCATGTTTCCGTCTGTATTTTAACATATATAAGGGCTTTACAAATAAAGAAAGGACTCAATTATCAGAAATGCATAATGTAACTCGGAAGGCAGTGGTGATTACTCCTTTTTAACTGCAAAAATCAAACATTGGTTCTTAAAATATTAAAATGTTCTCAGTTGTAACAATGGAGAACAAACTGTTCTTTAGAAAACAAGAGAGGTGCTAAAGAGAACCATCGAGTTTACCGAAAGAGAAGAAAAGAGCAAACAAAAGCATTTAGGTAGTCGGTGTACATTTGTTTGTTTTGCCTTTCTACATTTTTCGTACCTCTAAGGCTTACGGTGTTTTGGCAAAGTTGAACGTCAGCAATGAGAGGGATGCTGCCTTTTAACCTTACTGACCTCAAAGTAATTACATTAACAGTTTATTTAAATGTTTGCATTCAAGTTGTCCTTGAAATACATGTTGTTGAGTTTCAATGAGTAATATAATATTTAAATAAACAGAGTGTGTGTTCAATAAGTGAATGGTTTCCACCTCTGAGGAGCAGAATATTTAAGGATTCACATCAATTTAAAATCTTTTATGGCTATATTGCTGATTCAATATTTGAAAGATGTTCATTATTTGACAGTTAGTTTACTTGACTTGAATAGCAGTAGAAAATGATGCATAATAACATCTAACCTTTAAGAGACTAATGTGTTATGTCTTGCAAAGCACGTGTCTGCACGGTTGTTTCTGTTGACATTTAATTCAGTAATGACTCTTTTCAGAGTCCCCCTCCATAAGACCAGAAGCCTGCGTCGCCTGATGAGTGACAATGGGAAGACTGTGGAGGAACTTCTGACTTTAGCAAAGAGCAACGGAGCACCAGACAGCCTGCCCTCCCCACAAGTGCCCGTAGAGAGGCTGACCAACTTCATGGATGTACGTGTATATATACTCACACTAAAGAAACACAGATCTCTAGAAACTAACATGTTGACAGTTGCCTTTATATTTAATGTTGGTGTCTATTTTGTCAACGTCGGCAACACGTCCACAACACTTTCACACTCTATCCCACATGTGTTGCAAGTTAACTGAAGCCATTGTGGGACAAAAAAAAAAAAGAGTGAAATATTTGAGCAGCAGTGCAAGCGAGATAAAGGGGAAGATGAGGAATGTAAGATTGAAACAGAAATAACATCACAAGTTGGGTTTTTTCATTTCATGTGTTGCCTCTTGCTTTTAACAACCTTTATTATGAATTACTGATTTATTTAGATGACTAAATGTGATAAGCTTATTGTTGTGCAACCTCACAATAAGCCTAACACATTTCTTTGACTTCACTTGAGTTATGCCTGTGCTTAACTGATTACTTTTTTAGTCCAAATCCTTTTTTATTTTTTTATTTATTTATTTATTTTTTATTTATTAGCAAAAAATGTAAACCCTTTCCAAAGACAAAAAGCTCTTCAGTGTGTCCCTTGCTTTTACCTGTTACCTTTATCCCAGTAGATGTTAACAGAGAACAATGAGGAAATGGTCGTCACGTTCCTTGTATGTGTACACATATATATCCGTATCAGATATCCCTCTGTGTATGAGTGATAAGGAAGTCTACATGTAGGTGTC